CATCCATCCATCCATCATCTTTATCCATCCATCCATCCATCCATCATCTTTACCCATCCATCCATCCATCCATCCATCATCTTTACCCATCCATCCATCCATCCATCATCTTTACCCACCTCTTCCTTTTTTTGGGTTGTGGGCTCACAGGTGCCCATGTCCAGCTATCACTGTGAGAGGCAGGGGACACCTGGACAGGTCTCCAGTCCATCACAGGGACACCTGGACAGTCTCCAATTCATCACAGGGACACCTGGACAGTCTCCAGTCCACCACAGGGACACCTGGACAGTCTCCAATTCATCACAGGGACACCTGGACAGTCTCCAGTCCATCCCAGAGACACCTGGACAGTCTCCAGTTCATCACAGGGACACCTGGACAGTCTCCAGTCCATCCCAGGGACACATAGAGACACACAATCATTCACTCTCTCACCTGGGGACAATTTAGTCGTCAGTCTAACATGCTTGTCTTTGGTCTGTGGGAGGAAACCCGCAGCCCGGAGAGGACATGCAGACTCCACCCAGAAAGACCCCGGCTGGGATTTGAACTAAGGCGACCTGCTCGTAGAGAGGCAGCAGGTCTACCAGCTGCTCCACCGTGCCGCCCAGATTACTGTATAAATTTTTTAAATTATAAATAAAAGTCAAAATGTCCATTTTATAATTAGTGACAGATTTCAGTAAAACTACAGCAAAAGGTGCAGATTCAGTTCAACAGAACATTTAATGATTTAAAGAGCTTAAAAATATACCTCAGTCATTTTAATTGAAAAACCTTCCAGGGGTTTCGTCCATTCTCTTCCTCTTGTCCGGGGTCGGGTCGCGGGGGTAGCAGCCCAAGTAGGGAGGCCCAGACTTCCCTCTCCCCAGCCACTTGGTCCAGATCCTGCAGGGGAATCCTGAGGTGTTCCCAGGCCAGAGAACCATAGTCCCTCCAGCGTGTCCTGGGTCTTCCTGTGGGCCTCCCCCTGGTGGGACGTGTCCGGGACACCTCACCAGGAGGCGTCCAGTTAGTCTTCTTGAGACTGCAGGACTAATTCACAAGAGACCTGTTTTAAACAAAGAACACGGATGAGGACCTACATAAACGCTAAATATTAATCAACTGTTTTCTGTTCATATCAGTGCTTCATGTATGAACTCAAAGCTCATTTTAATTTTTATAATAATTATTGGTGCAGCATCAAATTTCATGCTCAATAATCCAGGTAGAAAATCCAGCACGCAGTCAGGTCATCTGGATGGTTTCTTTTTTGTAAGACATTTCATCTTTCATCCAAATGGCTTCTTCAGTCCGAGGAGCCACAACAAACAGGATGCAGGACAAAACGTGTCAACAGAAAAAGAAAGCGTGCAGATGGCGTGGATATTGTTGGGTTGCTGCAGCAAGTTGAGAGGAACGGGACGGCAACGTGAAATATGGAAGAATCTTTGACCAATAATTGTTTTTTTTCTATTTTCTGATTGGTTGGAGCAAAAAGTTGAAGTGCAGCTCTGACTAAGTGCACAGCTCTGACTTCCTCTCTAAATGTGAAGCAAATGTTGAAGATTGTTTGATGGTGTCCGCCCTGCAGCGTTCGCCGTGGGTACCAGGTGTACAAGCAGGTGTGTGCAGCGTGCCACAGCATTGAGTACCTGGCCTTTAGAAACCTGGTGGGGGTGTCGCACACGGAGCAAGAGGCCAAGAGCATAGCTGAAGAGGTGAGTGGGGGGGGGCATAAAGCTGATGGAGCAGTTTCAGTGGCGTCGTGGCCCGTTTTTAAACTTCCTTCTTGGCTTTAATGTTCAGGCGTGCGCTGCCACCAGGTGGCGCCGCTCGGCTGCGTGTAAAGTTCTTGACTGTTCAGTTGTGCTGTGTTTAGTTTGAGGTGGTGGACGGTCCAGATGAGAATGGTGAGATGTTCACACGGCCAGGAAAGCTGTCGGACAACTTCCCGAAGCCGTACCCCAACCCCGAGGCAGCCCGCGCTGCCAACTCAGGAGCGCTCCCTCCTGACCTCAGCTACATCGTCAATGCCAGGTCGCCCTGCAGCACCCGACGCACGCCGAGAGCAAAACGCACCACACAACTCATCTGTTGCTTCTCTGCTGCCCTGCAGACACGGCGGTGAGGACTACGTGTTTAGCTTGTTGACGGGTTACTGCGACCCCCCCGCAGGGGTGACCCTGAAAGAAGGACTCTACTACAACCCCTACTTCCCTGGTCAGGCCGTCGCTATGGCTCCGCCCATCTACAACGAGATTCTGGAGTACGACGACGGTAAGGAAGCACATTCAGTCTGCTGCCGGGTGCAGACGAGAATCGTTCAGTACTACAGGGACGTTCTAGCAGCTTGTCTGTTGCTATAGGAACCCCCGCCACCATGAGTCAGGTGGCTAAAGACGTGTGCACGTTCCTGAGGTGGGCCGCCGAACCGGAGCACGACCAGCGCAAACGAATGGGATTAAAGGTACAGTCAGATTATTTATTCAGTTGAAGTTGAACCAAACACATCTGCTCCGTTGCTTTCTGCTCGACAAACATGACGTTGTTGTTGTTGTTGTTGTTGTTGTTGTTGTTGTTGTTGTTGTTGTTGTTGTTGTTGTTGTTGTTCAACTTTTAAACCTGCAGGCACAAGCGTTTCCTTCTGCAGCTACTTTTATTGTGAAATGACTTAACGTTTTACTTTTCACCCTGAAACATGAACAACTTGTATTTTGTTGAAACTCATAAAAATGTTGGAGGAGATGAAACGAGACGTTTTATGATTTAAACATTTAAACACAGAACACGCACGTCATGTCTGCAAACTGCTCGTCAACTTCAAACTAAAATGTTTCATTTACTGAATCATCTACAGCCAAAGAGGCTGTTGTTGTTGTTTGTTTTGTTGTTGTTTGTTTTGTTGTTGTTGTTGTTTTGGGGGGGGGGTACTTTTCTACAAATGCGTGTCTCGTCGATACGTTCACTCTGGTGTCGGTTCCCGGCCGGTTCTTCTTCGGCGCCAGTTTCCTGATGAACTTGGATTCTGACCAGAAGAAAATGGCGCCACCGTGCTTCTTGCTGACTTGTTGCCACTGGAGACTCCTCGGCTGTTTGTTTTGTGTTTCCAGCTTTTGACGGCCGTGTTGCAGCTCTTTCTGTTCAGGCTGGTTTCTTCTCATGTTCTTGTTGTGCTTGCAGTTCGTGATGGGCGCGGCCGTCCTCATTCCTTTGCTCTCCTACATGAAGAGGCACAAGTGGTCGCTGCTGAAGAGCAGGAAGATTGTCTACAGGCCTCGCAAGTAGAAGAAAACAAGCGCACCCTGAGCTGGGCCCGGCGCTGAGACGGCTGCGTTCACTGACCCCACACTTCTCACTTGGAGAGATTCAGAGGAAGTCGTCTTTGCACGAGCGGCACACGTCCAACACCTGAATAAACCCGTTCGAGAGAAAATGCCTTGTTCATTTGGTGGCACTTCAAATTAATCCTGATGTTTTCTGTATGTTCAGGCGTATTTTTGAGGTTTGTTAGAGATTTGTGGTGTTGTTGACGCACCCTCCTCAGTTGAGCTGCAGGTGCTCGTGGCCCCCACCTGTTCACAGCTTTAATCTACTTGGGCCACTTTGTCACAGCTGACGGATAAGTTGTTTGATCAGCTCATCTTTGTAAGACACCATGCGACCTTAAAGATGCTGACAAATGATTGGGTCAGGAAAGTTTGTGACATTCTGAGTTTCTGTAAATGCGTTCTCTGACCTCTACAAAACAAACTTCTGTTTTACTGTGTAAAATAAATTATGTTAAAGGAACGTGTTGGTGCAGCTTCTTCTGGGCAGCAGAGGTGTTCACAGGTGCACGGGCACCATGGGTGCACTTCTCACTTCTTTAAGGTTTGATTGATCCAGACCGGACGGTGGGTCCGTTCTTTATTCAGACGGGAGCAGATCCAGTGGAACCGTCCGTTAAAGAAAAACCAACTTCGCTGAAACTGACACGAGTGACAAAAATATATTGAAATCAACTTTTCAGATTCTCTGCTTTTCAGGGTCGTTTTCGTAAATTATTTGAAACAAAGTGTCCTTGACTAGAGATTTGTCGATTATCAGAACTCGAGTCCGGTTAACGGTAACGGCCGTGGTCTAAAAAAACAAAAGGCGTGCTGACGAGTGATGATCAAACGGGCTGCAAGCTCCATCATCCACATAAAAAGGTTCAGTGGTGCCATCTGGACCAGTTTAATGAGAAACGTTTTGTTCCACATCCAGAGGACTTCCTCAGTCTACAGCCTGCCAACCAGATCTGTCCCCTTCTTCAAGCCTCCTGATGGAATCACACATTCAGGCTGTTGGCACGTGCACAACACCCCCGCCGTGCAACAACTTGCTGCTCACAGAAACAGCCCGAGGACAACCAGCTGTGACGTGCTGCTGGTTCCCAGCAGGTTGTTACACTGAGGACAACGTTTCATATGACACTTTACACAAACTCAAGTTTCTTCTCATTTCCACTGAAATGTCAAAATCAAGTAGGTGTAAGGAAGGAAAGCAGCAAGTTGCTCATATTGTGACTAAAGCTTTGATACGTGTGCAAACCTCAGTCTGGGTGTGGAAATCTTCTCATGACGTTCATTACCTGGATTTACAGACGGTTTTATTTCACCTGGATTTACAGAAGGTTTTTATTTTACCTGGATTTACAGAAGGTTTTATTTCACCTGGATTTACAGAAGGTTTTATTTTACCTGGATTTACAGAAGGTTTTATTTTACCTGGATTTACAGGTTTTATTTTACCTGGATTTACAGAAGGTTTTATTTTACCTGGATTCACAGACGGTTTTATTTCACCTGGATTTACAGAAGGTTTTTATTTTACCTGGATTTACAGAAGGTTTTATTTCACCTGGATTTACAGAAGGTTTTATTTTACCTGGATTTACAGAAGGTTTTATTTTACCTGGATTTACAGACGGTTTTATTTCACCTGGATTTACAGAAGGTTTTATTTCACCTGGATTTACAGAAGGTTTTATTTTACCTGGATTTACAGAAGGTTTTTATTTTACCTGGATTTACAGACGGTTTTATTTCACCTGGATTTACAGAAGGTTTTATTTTACCTGGATTTACAGAAGGTTTTATTTCACCTGGATTTACAGACGGTTTTATTTCACCTGGATTTACAGACGGTTTTATTTTACCTGGATTTACAGACGGTTTTATTTCACCTGGATTTACAGAAGGTTTTATTTTACCTGGATTTACAGAAGGTTTTATTTCACCTGGATTTACAGACAGTCTTATTTGCCACCGCTGGAATGTCTTGGAGCCACACTGTCCCACAGCTGTCTGTTACTGAGCCTGATGTCCTCGCCCTTTAGTTCTTGATTTGAGGCTCGGTTCTTAAAACAGGTCCGTGAAACAGAGTCTGGATCTGTTCCAGTTTGGATCCTCCTCTTGAAAAGCTTTGGGATGGTAAATAAATCTTTGGCCACTTTTTGAATCGTTCTTTCTCCACAGCACGTTGTTCGTGTCGGAGTCGCCCCATCGAGACAACTCCGCACAGCTGGACATTGTTTTACTCTGGATGAACTTCCTGATGCAACCTGGGCTCGAACCTGCAGCCTCACGACCACAGCACTGACCACCGAGCTACAGGCTCTTGGTTAAATGATTAGGTTTAACAAAAGAAAGAAGTTTGATTGGTTTAAAATATATTAATCTGGTTGACAAGTGGTGACATGGAACCATGAAAACATGTTTTCACTTCAGTGCAGTAAAACAAAAAAAAGCTTTAACCCAACCCAAAAAGGTTCAGTCTGGTCCTCTGGACATTCAAATAAACAAGAAACAAAGCAAAAAAATGCAGATAAGTTTCGTCTTTCATCCTGAGGACTTCTTCAGTCTGAGGCGCTGTATTCAGCTCAGTCTCTTAAACAGCTTAGCAGCAGCAACGTGCACTCCGCCCATCTCACATTATAGAACGTAGTTTCACTGGTTCCCAGTACAATGATAATATAAAGCTAATTCTGGTTCTGATCTTTTTTTAATACCACTATCCTAGCCTGGTGGTCTTTTCTTTCTAAAGAATAAGGGTCTGCGCTCCTGGGAGCTGCAGCCACGTGCACTCCGCCCATCTTTCACATGATCTTTCTGTATTTCGGTGCAATGATAATAAAGTTTATTCTGATTCTAGTTCTATGCACGAACACAAGTTCATCTGTCTGGCCCAGAATCTAATAAAGCATTTTATTTATTTGACCGTGTTTGAGTCTTTGTAGGTGTCTTGTAGTTCCATGTTTTAAGCTCTGCTCCAAGGACGTGCTGTCAGCACACTGCTGCACACTGTTCCACTGAACAGCGCCACTTACAACGAGCTCAAACTCGTGCCAAGAAGTGATGCTAAAAATAATACCTGCAGTGTGAATATAGCTCAGAAGGACCAGTGATTGACATGTTGATAATTTCCCAAAGAAAGCAGGTCCGCTTGTGTTCTGCTTCATTTCATTCTTGTTCAGGTCTTCTTTAGTGTTCATTAGGAACAGGTTTGTTCAGGTCCAACCCTGATGTGCAGCTTGTGGTGCAATAATCAAAAACCAGAAGGCTTCACACTCCAAACAGTCTCCGGTAATTTACTGACAAATGTGTTTAAAATTGGATTTTTCTCTTTTTTTTCTGAACCAAAAGCCGTTCTTTGATTCAAGTGGTGCCAAACTGTCTCGGAGGTAAATCTTCTAAAGAGGTTTGGTTGTTTTGAAGTGGATTTATGTCCAAGTAAGTACAGTACATTCAGTGGTCCCTCGTTTATCACGGCTGTTAGGTTCACCCCACCCCCAGTGATAAGTGAAGAACCGTGAAGTAGGGATGCTATGTTTATTTTAGTATTTATATATTAAGGCTTTATAAACCCTTCCCACACTCTTTCAATGTTCTAAACTCTTAATCCTACGTCATTTTAACAACATACGTAAACGTAGGTGTAGCTACTAAACTTTATTCACCAGTGTGTCCCCACTCGGAGGTCCATGTGGGCGGGCTACCAGCTCTCAAGATTCACCGATGGGTCTGGAGGTCTGGTTCTGCTCCAGTTCTGGTCCGGTTTAGTGGGTTCAGTGTGGCTTCTCTGCAGCCGCTGATAGTCCGAGTGAGTGCAGTGAGGAGAATCAGGAAGAAGTGTCTCAAAGCCGTTACAAACAGAATGGACTGAAACAAGTCAAAGTGAAACTTAGTCCAACACAAATCTGTAAAAAACATTTATGATCATCTTTAACAACAGATTTTATTCTCTCATGGGTGCAGACGAGCTGGTCATCTTCATTCCTCCAGGCTCCCGTTGGACTCGTTTTCAGGATCTTTTGTAAGAAATGTTGGATCCAAACGTGAGGCCGTTGTAAAAGAAGGGCTCGTTCAGATAAAGCTTCTTTAAAACAATCTTTGTACGACGTGAACAGAGGATTTTACGTCGAGTCTTCTCATGAGGATGCTTGTGATTCCTCCTGATGAGCTCAGTGCCTGCAGCTTCCTGACATCACCGAGCTTCAAACGTCTAAAGATCTGTCCCAGCCTCGTTCACCCACATCAGGGCTGTAGATCAGCAGCTCACACAGTAGATTAGCGTGGGAAATATTTTTAACAGAGCTCCAAATCAAGATATTTAAAGCACCAAGTGCTGCACAGGGATTTGGAAACTACATTTTCTTTAAGACAGATCATTTAAATATTTAGTTTTACTCTGGAGGCCACTGTCTGCACGTTAGGAGGGTAAAGTGGACGCCGAGGAATGTGAAGCATGGAAGAGGAGCTGACTGATGAGACGGAAGATGTGTTGGCACGATGCCTAAAAGATGAGCTGTAATGACAGACGGCCTGAACGTCTGACATTACTCAAAGAGTTCTTGGAGAAAAGGCTTCAAGGCAGAATCTGAAACTGATCATTTCCTCCTCCTCATGACTTCAGGTTATTTTCTGTGTGCATGTACACAAACAGAACTGTAATATAGAGGGTTTCCTAAAAATACGTTGGTACAATTTAACTACACAGCGTTTTCAGGTCACGGCCTTGTCTGGTAAAACCTTACTGAAGAACAAAGAACTCTTTGTTGAACATGTTCATGTGGAACAAGTCGTTACTTGTGTTTATAGAGAAACGGTGACGAACAAACTAAAACTAAAAGTCACGATAAGCTCAGTGTAGTTTCTGCTCCCATGACTTCCTCGTCTCTTTCTCACGCTCGGTGAACTTCCACTTTGAATTAAAGAGCTTTCAGTCAATGATGACTCTGACATTTGGAATAAAGAGATAAAAACACATTGATCCTCACCAACTAATAAAAACACAAAGTTTCTATATGTTGTTTTGTCCTGTGACAATAATTACATATTTACTTTAAATGTGGTGGTTATTTCAAAAACCGGGCATCAAAAAACCTGAAAAACTAAAAAGAAATGAAACATTCTTGCATGAAAAGAGAAAGTTGCACATATTAAGTCAATATTGGAACAAATATTAAAATAAAACCCGGAAAACAAAGATCTGATAGGATATAAATGAAGCAAGCACGAGTGCCACAGACTTCAGCATCCTTTTCATCTGCTTAACCAAGTTTTAGTTTATTGCGATTTCATTTCCGCCTTTGGATATTATTTTGAAAGTCCCAACCGGATGTGGCTCACGAGTTTCCGGCTCCTTCGTGCGGACAGTAAAATGTCTCGTGTCAGTTTGGACCGACAGCTTGGGACCTGGTTCGCTGTGAGGCGTCTGGACGAAGACGGTGCGTCAAATTTGTTTTTATTTACTTGTTTTTATTTACT